TATCCGGGTGCAACTAATGTGGTCCTGGGAACCCATTATAGGATGATCTTATTTTTTAGTTTTCGTGTCATTTGAGGTGACGTAAGACAGATTTTGTCCGAGTTAGAAAGTATAAACTACGCAAGGTGCATCGGGAACATGTCTGGATGGCGCCTCGATATGAATTCTCATGCCGCAAGGTGTGGTTTGGCCCAAGTCAGAAACTGACTACTTCCCGGGCGTTGTCGGAATAAGTCCGGATGTGATCAATGTGCTCCTGGGCAATTGGTATAGCTACCGTTTATCCAGTTCAGTTTTCGAATTCACATTTGATGTGTCGCATTACGGGTTTTGGTCTATGTCAGAAACTGGTCACATCCCCAGCACATGTTCGGATGTAACCAATGGGGATTTTTTGGAATTCTTGACAAAATCGACTTTTTCCTTCTTGAGCATCTCCAACGTAGAAGAAGCCTCGGAAGAAGCATAGTGAGCAGATGCCAGATCCGGCCAAAACAATGGATGCTTTCGGTAGATGGGTAAAAACCGTTTTTTATGCATTCTTTTCTATAATTTGCTCCATTGATTGTGCCCGTTGTGAAATACGAAGAACTCTTCAAGCCACAGGAGAAAATGGCTTGCCACACCAACACCTTTTATTCCAAATTTTTCGGTTCGGAAGTATCGCACATCATCAGGCACAGGCAGATTCTGTCCTCTGCTCAGCGTTCATAAATTGCGGCCCAGCACTGAAAAAATTTCAAAGTTTATTTTTATGTGTCCCACACATGAATTTTTGCAATGTGATCAACAAATGATATTTATGTGTCAGACACATTCTTAATATGTGTACACATAAAGGCCATGTGTATCCCCACATACTATTCATTTGAATCATAAATTTCATGTGTGCTGTTATTATTATTATGTTATTAGTGAGGAAGTGACCGAAAAAAAAAATAATTATAATAAAACAACGTAATTACAATGATTTTTACTGTTGAATTTCGAGTACATTAAAATTTATTGTTAAATTATTGTACGGGAGAAAACATAAATTTCGAATCCTGATGAATGTGGGCGTCTTAGTGGAATACCTGTATAATGAGAGAGAGAAGGATTAGTATTTTCCATTTAATTCCACTACTTTATTTGCTTATCCTTGACAGATACGCGTATTTCGTCTACAATGTGCAGACTTCTTCAGTGTCTTGTACTAATACTCGACTGTCGAGTATTAGTACAAGACACTGAAGAAGTCTGCACATTGTAGACGAAATACGCGTATCTGTCAAGGATAAGCAAATAAAGTAGTGGAATTAAATGGAAAATACTAATCCTTCTCTCTCTCATTATAAATTTCGATTTTTAACGATACAATACTTAAACAATGAAAATTAGTGTGATGAGATCAAATTTGTTCGAGAAAAATCACTTTTTTTATTGTTAAGATGCTTAACAACCCCCCTTTTTTACTGTAAATTTCTCAAATATCATGATTTTCATTGTTGCGAACCATGAATTTCGTTGTGATTTTATGGTAATGGACAAAAATGTCCAATGTTTTGACAATAAATATCAAGGTAACAATGACAATGAAAATCATTGTATTTTTATTGGACTTTTTTTTACGGGTGTAATGGTATCCAATTTGACGTACGTCTCGTCGTCCATCAAAATGCACCGGTTCGGATTTTGAAAGAAAACGTCGTACAAGCAGTGCGCAAAATAGTCAGGTTCATTGAGTCATCTTGCCATCTGCCTCATAATTCATTGCCTCGTGAGAGACTGAATGATTGAGAGGTAAACGAGTCACTGACAGCCGAGCACTCAGTCAACACGTTTATTCTGCCGTGATGGTACCCAATATTTGTTTTGAATGACTGAGCGTACATTTTCTATGGAAAAATGACTCAATTACATGCTGTGTGAGCGAAGGCAAGCGGTGTGCGTCGCCTGCTCGTGAGTGACTGAATGTTTTTGTTGGCTCTTTCATTGCCTCGTTCTTTACCGTTTGGTACAAACAGTCTGAAAAGAGCAATGGATTGAATAGTGCAGTGCTTTCACACTCAGCCTAGGCAGTCAATAATTTTAAGCTCTGCATACAGTGACCGTATTTTCGAAGAAGCTTTCTGTGAATACGTCCTTTTGGGTACTTTTTGCTTCTTGTAGGTTCTGATATTGTTGTACAGTTCCGACGCTAATGTATTTTTTTTTTGGCAATTTTACGAACGGAACACGGTTTATGCGATTTCAAAAGGCGTACTGCCAACAACAAATACGAAACTAACGATTTTAAATTGGCTCACTACTTGACTAGCCTATTGGTCCCAAGCAAACGATTAACGTGCCCCATTCTAGTCGAAATTCTAGTACTACACAATGTTTGTTTTGATTCGCTATGAAAGTTTGACAGATAAAATGAGGGGTTAGTGGATTTTCCTATGTTTAGAGGGGCGAATCGATTAGCTTGGGACCGAAGAGAGTACCAGAGCTGAGCCAAAAAGTTGAGCACGTTTCTTGCCAGCTCCTTTTTCTGGTCCGATGCCCCCTTTTTGCGCCCAGATTTCGGTAAATCTTCAAGAGAACACGTTTCTCCAAACTTCTTAACAATCTTGAACTACAAACGAAGTGACAGACGACTAACTGGCGAAGAAATCAATTAAAATAATGTGGTACGCTGTAATATAATTTTCTTAGAAGCTTGTGCCATCATCCACCAGATGAGTTAGTATTTCTATTTTATTTGAACAAAGTTGATTTTGTGTACAATGATCTTTGACAGCCTGCAAAGAGTGTATCATTTTGTAATTTTTTTTTTATATATTTCAGTTTTGAGTAAAGGGGGTTCAATAAAAAATGAGAATTTTTTCAGCCATTAAGTATTTTTTATTAAAAACATAATGTTTATTCTTCAAAACACCCGTAAGAGTGAAAGAGATAGAACCAAAACATTCTAGTACAATTGGTGAAAATGCTAGCACAATCCATTAGTAGTGTTGCCATGTGGTACAATCCAGTAGTAGTGGTGTTGCCATGTGGTACACTGAAAATTTGCAATAGCTGGTGCGTCACCAAAGTTTTCGAGCCGCTCCGTCTGTCACTTCGTTTGTGCTTGAACACTGTAGATTTACTGCACTTCACGCATTCTGCCAATTCTCGAAACGACAACTTTTCGGAAAACCATTTGTGCAGAATAAATCTGCGAGTTGATAAGCTAATCCGACCCATCGTTAGAAATTTCTCCCTTTTTTTTAATTTTTCAGGTGTGTTGCCAAAATTTACAATTTTTCATTAAGTTTTAACCCTAAACCATTGATAAACAGGTGATCACTTTCTTTAATGAACAGTCCTTATGGTCAAACGAAGGATAGTTGAATATCATAGTACGGAGTAGGGCCGTTGCCGTGATCGTTCTGTTATCTGTTTTGTGGAGTTTAAATCAAGGTTGCAAATTTCAGCTAAAATAATGTTTTTCGGAATAATAAAACCAAAAGATGGTATGAGGGCATGTTTTACTTGTAACTTACAAGAAGAGGTTACAAAGTATGCGTTGGAAACATAAAACCTGTAAATTTTGCTTTCTATGAGTCACAATCAGCGATTTTCTGATCGCTGAGTGAGTGAGTAAGTGAGTGAGTGAGTTTGTGAAAAATCGCTGATTGTGACTCTCATGAAGTGAAATAAACAGGTTTAATATGTCAAACACATTCTTTGCAACCTCTTCTTGTATCCTACCAATTCAAAATTTGATCAAGGCATCTAATTATTTCATAATTTAGAAAAACATTGTTTTAGCTGAAATGAGTCTTTGCAACCTTGGTTTAAATACCTGGAGCTTGCAATGCACATAATGGGATAATGAATAACATACACACCAAATTTCATAAATCTAGTTAGGTACTTTTTTGCTGGATTCGTTTTGTAAAATACAATTTTAACAATTTTAAAAATTACTGATTAAAACTGTAAATGGCTGAAATTCCGCAATACTGTAAAAATTGTGACGAATAAACTGTAAACCCAATATTTTACAAAAAAAAAACAAACAGTAACTGCTGTACGAGATTTTTGTAAAAATTACTGAACATTTGGTGTACAATATATTGATCTCTGATCACGTCTTCCTTCGGAAAGGATGTAAAGCCGTTGGTCCCCGGTTCATGAGTTGATGGGTCGATAGGTAGGGTCCAGGTGTGGGAGCTGCATTCCTGGCGTCGGTAGCATTGGTGCTCAGCACGGAAAACAAGATCGACGGAAAACAAATCAAGGAAAAAAAGGTAGTAAAGCACTTTAGTAAAAGTATGGACGTCATCACAAAATGAAAAAAAATGTTCCAATCGAGAAAAACAGTGTATTTTGACGGTTCGATTGGAACAATTTTTGACAGACGTCCATACTTTTACTTAGAGGACTTTAATAAGTAGGCCTGGCCGTTTTGATGATTGTGTCATATCTCAGATATGTTGCAAACATCGATATTGACAAGAAAAATGATAAGCCGTTATCTAACATACTCATTTCCAGGATGCTTTCTCGTACTGGCTGCGTCTGTATTAGATTAGATTAGGCCGGTAGAGGTTATGGTTATATAATTAAAAAATCAAAAGATTCACGCTGGGTAATTCATCCGGAAAATTTTGTTGAACGCACACTTAGATTATTTTACAGGAGTCAATATTTTTTTTACTAGGTTTTTGAATTGCTGAACAAGTCGGTAAAAATTGAAATGCCCGTTATCCGTAAGAAATCAATTAAATCGACAAATTTTAAAATTATCATTAAATGGGGTTAACAGAACGAAGTCTTTACAAATTCGGAATAAATTTTCTCATTTTTGAATTTTTCACAGATTTTTTTTTTAACTTTTGCCGAACAGTTCCGCAATTCAAAAACCCACTGACTGGATAAGTGTGCGTATTTCTAAAATTCTTAACTCACGCACCATACTTTGCATTCAGCATAATGGACAGGCAACAGTGTTGTCATTCACATTTGATGATTTAAATTTTTCGTTACAGTTCATATGGATCGGATTCAACTTTGTCGTATTTTGTAAAGCCTTCAAAAACTACCACCATGAACCGGAGTATTACTATCTTAGTAAGATTTTAGGTGTAAGTAACACACTCGTTCTCGCTCTAAATAACTATGATTTCACACAACGATAGTAAATCATGGCGAATTGCTTCCAGAACGGCCTCTGCATATCACGGGGAACGGCACCAGTGCTCAATTTGACAATGGCTCTGATAACTCTACCCGTGTCCCGATCGTTCAACTTTCTACTGAATGCCCTTTTCGGAAGATGGTCAATTCGAGCACTGGTATTCTACTTGGAAAAAATAAAAGTCCTACATCTTACGCTTGGAGTAGGGTTGATAATTGTGGGGGGTAAGAATCGTGAAATAATTTGAGGAATTTTCAATTCTTTTGAGATAAAAAATTAATTTTATTTCAAGTTATTCACAGTTTAGCGCATCTGGTTAATATTATCAATTTTGTGGATAATTATGATGTCAAGTTTGACGACATCAACTGGGCTTCCGGTAAAGATGATGTAAGTATATAAAGCATTGCTTTTCGAAAACGAGATTGACTTCCACAAATTTCTAACATAGAGCAAGCTGCGCCTACTGGTGGCAACTCCGACGGGATTTTCCGGCTGCGTCATGTTGGCAACACTATTCACCATCGCCTATTTTTCCAGCCGACAGATGCGTGATAGGTTCTACAATAGCTTCCTGGCTTCGCATCACCTCTTCCTGGTATTCTACGGAATGATGTTTTATCATCCACTAAGGTTTACATCTCCAACTACAACTTTTAGTTTTGTAGTTAAATAGTAAAATTCACATATATTTTAGCAACATCATAAAATACCAAACAAATTTAAAAGCACATCCTAATGGATGCGATGTCATCGAAGAACATATCTTCAGGAACGATTCTGTTTTGCAAGCTATTTGCAACGAGAAACCTACATTCAATACTGGAGAGAAACGAGTACAATTTCAAATTTAGGTAAAAATTACAAGATTTAAAACTTATCGCTATTTTAGGCATGGATATGGCCGTTGATAGGTCTATCGATATATGTGCTCGATATAGTATTCCGATATATTACGGCACACTCGGATTCCAAGAAAGTTACAACCTTACAATCCTACGGGTTGCCAGGTAACGGAGTATACCTTCGGCTAAGATTCACCCGTAGTAAGCGCGTCGTGATTTGTGCAGGCCAGTATGTCCTGCTACAATGTCCCGCTATATCTACCATCGAATGGCATCCGTTTACTGTCGTTGATGTATGGTGCACTATCCTCCGGCTTTGAGTTGAACAATAGCCTATATAATGTTTTCCAATAGTTTCCCACAGAAATCCACAATACGGTTTCGCTTACTGTGGCTGTACGAGGTGACTGGACACAAAAGTTGTACGACGTGGTTTTAGAGAAAGAGCGCCTGAAACAAAATGGCGGAGGTATCGATGCTCTTCGAAAAGTGCAATTTCTTCTAGATGGACCATACCCATCGGCCATGACTGGAATGCTCAAGTACAAACGTGTAGTCTACATCGGCGCAGGCGTGGGCATAACTCCATTCGCGGGATTCGTTCGACATCTATTGTATGATTATTTGTTATCTTACTGTTAATATCATAAAGACTTCAACCTGTAATGCTTTTAGAAATTTTAACACCGATCGACCATCACGAATTCATCTTGTATGGATTGTTAGAAAGGCTGAAATGTTTACCTGGTTTGCAGATGAACTGACGAAACTCCAAGAAAGGGTAAATTCAAACACTAATGCAATGATAACAAGTAGGATGATCGACTGCTTGCACTTAATTTATTCCAGTTTTGGAAGCAGAACAAACCCGACCGGTTCATGCTTAAGTTGTTCCTGACGCGTGACTACAATTCAAACCTGATTGAAGAATATTTCGGAGACTACCCGACGCTGAAGGCACGTATATTCAAGGGCCGTCCAAATTGGGATGAATTTTTTCTGGACCTAGCAACTTTGTACCCGAGGTAAGGTGACATATATGTAAGGTTGTAACACTCATGGTACAACTGTGGTACTTTTTTTTTGCAGCAAGGCTGTGACCGTTTTCAGCTGTGGACCCAAAAACATGACCAAAGAGCTTAAAACCGTCTGCAGACAGTACCGGAAGCACACGTGCAAATTTACGCATTTTCACGAGGGTTTTGGGTAATATTGAATACGAAAGAGCATTTTAATAAAACGAGAAGGCTGAAAGCAAGAATTCAAACAAAAACCATCGTCACCTTGATAATTCGCATAATTCGCAAAAACCATCGCCACCTTGATAATTCGACATTTTGATCAACTTTTTACTGTAGCGGTGCCGGTGGTGTAGTCATAAGCGTAGATGCCTCTCATCCCAAAAGGCCTGGGTTCAATCCCAGTCAGCACTGCCGGGATTTTCTGAGGAAAGCCGTTGGTCCCCGGTCCATGAGTTGATGAGTCGCTAGGTAGGGCCCAGGTGTAGGAGCTGCCTTCCTGTCGTCGGTAGCATTGGTGTTGAGCACGGAAAACAAGATCGACGGAAAACAAATCAAGGAAAAAAAGGTTAAATGCGTTACTATGTTAAAAATTTACCATTCCGTCTCGCACGCTGAGCCGGTCAAGTCGCATCGGTCTCGTTGTACGACACTAGTATTTGAGTTTTTGAGTTTTTCCCCACGCGAGGGTTTTTTCTCGCCAAAGTTAGTTGGCATAGGGTAGAGAACTACTTCGGCCTAATCGCCCATTTTGGGCCTATCGAGCAGAAAACTTCAAATAAATCCATGATTACATAGTTAATAAGTCAATTATGCGTTTGGTACGATAGTTTAGGTAATAAGCTACCGAACGAAGTCAATGAGAACGCGTGGTATGAAGGTTTGCACACATTATTCCCAAAAACAAAAGTAGCGCTCCGACCGAATCAATTTTTATCTTCATCCGATAGGCCGAAGTGAATTCATTGGCATTTCAATTGCGTTTCAATGCGTTAGGCCGAGTTTAAAATCCGTAGGCCGAGTTTGGCATCAAGAACCAGTGTTGGACTTTTGACAATATCTCAACGATTGGTTTCTCGTTTTCAAATCTTACGGTACGTACGGAAAGGTAGATAAATTTGGAAGCCATCAGTGATAATAACATTCCGTTTGGTGCTAAACTGAACTAGATTAAGAAAGACTAAGTGCGGGTTATGCTTAATAGGCCGGAAATGGGGTAGTTAACCCTAGTGTTAAGAAAACTAGTGCACGAGTGAGGAAGCCGTTAACCATATGCCGAGCGCTTTGATTACGGTCCAGCTTTAATCATCATCATCCCATTGATAGCAACAACGAAAGCAAGTTAAATTGCCTATCGAGGCGACCGAGACATACCAGCTATCAGGTTATCGACCCAACAGCCGTTGGGGCAAACAATAGCATCTCACCAGTCTCTGCCGCCTCAGTGCAATAGGTATATCGTGTCGCTTTGTTTTCACCAGTATCGCATCTCCCCGCATGGTCCTATATTAGATTAGGTTGGGTCATAATTAGGGTGATCCAAAATTTTGTAAATGGTATGTATCTATAATTTTTTTTCTTGATTTTTTTCTCGTACTATTTTTAAGTAGAGCATAGATCCAAAAAAAAAGTTCCAGTTTTTCGGCCAGAAAATCATCTGAATAATCAGCAAGAACATGCTCCCATGTTTACGTTTTCTGGTATTGTGGATAGCTTCTTCAGTATATTCAATATCTCTGACTCAACGAGGAGCATTATTAATTTAGCCAATGGTGAAAACTCTTTTGAAGCAACTAGCTTCTAGGTGGTCCTTCCTTGCATCGATCATATCATTTGATGGATAATTCTCCGAATGAGGTCGGGGATATGATCTCTGGTCTTCAGTGGAACTGTAGAGGTCTTATCCCAAAACATGACACATTTAAATTTTTAGTTAACAATTCACTTTCTGATGCATTTGCCCTTTGTGAAACATAGCTTTCTTCAGACAACGATCTTGCTTTCCACGATTTCAACATTATTCGCCTTGACCGCGCAGATTCGTATATAGGGGTGCATCTGGGGATAAACAAGCTCCATTCCTTCTACAGAATCGATCTGTCTTCGGTGACAGGCATTGAAGTTGTTGCATGTCAGGTTAACATTCGAGGTAAATGCCTTAGTATTGCCTCAGTATATCTTCCACCGAGAACTGCGATTTCTCGTCAAAGTTTCTCGGATATCTGCATGGCTATGTCGGAGCCACGGTTGATCTTAGGAGATTTTAACTCTCACGGTACAGGCTGGGGGGAACTGTACGACGACAACCGATCAACCTTGATATACGACATGTGCGACTTCTTCAAAATGACAATTCTGAACACCGGGGAAGCAACACGAGTAGCCAAACCTCCAGCAAAAATAAGCAGATTAGACCTCACACATGGCTAGAGTTAACTATCGTTGGATTGCTCGTGGAAAATAATTCAAGATCCCTACGGTGGTGACCATTTGCCAATCAAAATTTCTATTACCAATGGTTCATCTTCTACTCGCTCGGTCGACATCGCGTACGATCTTACGAAAAACATTGACTGGCGAAAATTCACGACCGCGGTTCTTGATGCCAGTCCATCGGTTGATGTACTTCCTCCGCTGGACTAGTACTCCTTTCTCGCGCGTCTCATGATCGGTTGTGCGCTGTGAGCACAGACGAAACGTGTTCCGGGAGTTTCCGTTCGCAAGCGACCTCCCACCCCGTGGTGGGATAAGGATTGCACCGACGCGAACAGCGAGAAGTCCGCCGCGTTTAAACGCTTCCGCAAACACGGTAAGGTCGAGGATTTCGAGTGGTACACCGACCTCGAGAAAACCTTTAAGGGCTTGACTAAAGCCAAAAAAAACGCGGTTACTGGTTTGTCGTGAGAGACTTCCATGAGAACACTCTGGAATGTCGGCAGGAGAATGCGAAACGCGTCATCACCGATTAACGAAGACAAGGAGACTCGGACAGTTGGATATTCAGCTTCGCGCGAAAAGTTTGCCCGGATTCGGTGTCGGTTCAAACCAACGTTCGTGATCGTCCGTCGAGTAATAACGAAATAGATTCCCCTTTTTCGATGGTGGAATTCTCACTTGCTCTCCTTTCATGTAACAACTCAGCTCCAGGGATACCACTGCGTCCTAGCAAGAAGTACGGTCGACTTGTTTCGCGCTCCGTTGTTTTGGAAGTTTTCTCGGTATTCGCTTGATATAAATTATCAGTTTTTTCTCACTACGTGACTCCTGGCATAGTTCCCGGTAAATTGATCGAAAAGTGAGTTTTTTTAAGTGGAAAGTATCATTTTCGGAAAGATTAATCCGTGCTATTGGTAATTCGCAAACCAATTTGGGCATCATCGTTGCGTGGTCACGCATACGCGCTCACGCATACCCGCTTACGTATCATCATCATCGAGTGTGAGCACCCGTTTCTACATCTACATCGTTCATCAATCATCGTGCGCCTGTGTGCGCTGAGTACCGAGCCTCGATCAAGTGCACCACAACGAAGGTCATCCACGCAGCGCGTCTCTTCCAGCCATCTGCGTAAACGCCTACGCATATAACGCTCGGTGGTAGTATAGGATTATCAGATAAGTTTTTGTTTTTTTTGTTTCTTTTCCTCCCCCATTAGTTAAATTTTCATTTTATATTTCTGTGTTTGTAGTGTTTTCTGTGTATTGTGTCTGTGCGTTCAGTGGGAGAGCATTTTGCGCTCCCACTAGTTGAACAAAATGGATGTTTTGTCAGAAGACGACATGGATGACCATTCATCTAAGAAAAATGATGATGTCATCCATGGTTCGTCGTCTCAGTCTGTCAATGGGCAGGCTGAGAAAAACTCCAGATTGCGGGCCTACCCGAATGACTCGACTGGCCCATGGGTTGTCTATTTTCAGCTCAAAAACAAACCCTTGAATGTTGTTCAGATATCTGATGATCTGACAAAGCGATTCTCTGCCGTGACCGAAATAACGAAGGTTAGGCACAACAAACTTCGTGTGACCGTCGCTAACCTGAAACAGGCTAATGAAATTGCTGTTTCCCAGTTTTTCACACTGGAATATAGGGTGTACATTCCAGCCTCTGATGTGGAGATCGAAGGCGTGGTCACTGAGGCGAGCCTGAACCCCGAGATACTGGAGAAGCAAGCGGTTGGCCGATTCAAGAACCCCTTGCTTCCTCCGGTAAAGATACTGGCCGTTCATAGAATGAAGTCAGTATCGCTCAGCGAGGGTAAAAAGAGTTTTACCCCCACAGACTCGTTTCGGGTGACCTTTTCTGGATCTGCCCTTCCTCAATACATCGAGCTGGGAAAACTTCGTCTTCCTGTGCGGTTGTTTGTACCTCGGGTCATGAACTGCCAGAATTGTAAGCGGTTGGGACATACGGCCTCCCACTGCGGCAACAAGGCACGCTGCTCCACATGCGGGGAGAAGCATGAGGATGGCGCCTGCGCAGCTACTGCACCAAAATGCGTGTACTGCAATGGAACTCCTCCTCATGCTCTCTCGTCGTGCCCGGCGTACAAACAGCTCGGGGACAAAATGAAACGCTCCCTTAAGGAACGTTCCAGGCGGTCTTTTGCAGAAATGCTTAAGACAGCCAAGCCATCGACCAACGAAACAAATCCCTTCGCTCTTTTGTCAGACGACGAGTCTGGCTCTGACTTGGCTGAGGAGGGAGTTTCTTTCAGTTTTCCGGAAGGTTCTGCCCGGAAACGAAAGCGCATCCGTTCGCGGATTGTTGCAAATAAAGAACCCCAAATCAGCTTGCCTAAATCAAGGAGTGGTGGAAAAAAGGAGACTTCTACTCCTCCTGGATTCCGCAGAACTGACTATACCCAGGATTTTCCACCACTTCCGGGGACATCCAAAACCCCTGATGCCCCAATTTTAAGAACAGAAACCCCTTCTTCATCTGGGCTGTTCTCATTTGATGACATTGTGGACGGTATTCTCAAATACCTCAACATTTCTGATCCTCTGAAAAGCATTGTCCTCACATTGCTTCCGACTGTGAAATCCTTCTTGAAGCAATTGACTTCAAAATGGCCCCTTCTTGCAGCTATCATCTCCTTCGATGGATAATTTTCCAAACGGGGTCGGGGATTTGATCACTGTTCTACAGTGGAATTGTCGAAGTCTTATTCCGAAATTAGATTCGTTCAAGTATTTAGTCCATAACAATAATTGCGATGCATTTGCCC